AAGACTGCGCCAGCCCCAACCATACACAGACGAAGGAGGTGGGGTTAGACGAAGAAGAAGGGAAGATGGGAATGTCGTCAACACCAAGTGTTCAGCACAGGACCAAATAGTCCCTCGTCAAAATGTCTGAATCCCAATGTCGAGTCTGGATCCAATGTCGTCAAGTCTCATGTCACAACTCTCTCTCTGTAGTAGTCCGCTGATACTGAGAAGCAGGTGGTGAGAGGGGAAGAAGAGATGGTGGACTGAGAAGAAGAGGAAGAAGAAGAAGAAGCAGGTGGTGAGAGGGGAAGAAGAGATGGTGGACTGAGAAGAAGAGGAAGAAGAACTCTCTTTTGCTCTCTCTCTCCAGTACTAACCTGTGAAGTTGGCGCCTTGATGCAGGTACCTCCAAGATGGAGCTGGAGCGATGGCGCCACAGGTACGTACCACTGGCCTCCGCCAGTGTCTCTCCCCACTCTATTACACCTACAGCGCCCAGCGCTGAATCTGTCTCTTATACACATCTAGATGCAAACTTCGCAAGAGTCGCAATACCGAGTGACATCGGTAATGAGGTCGGGCCATCGGAATCGCTGTCGAAGCCGTGCAATAGTGCGGTTGACTCAGAAATGGCCGGAGATTCGTGAATCATGATACTCGCCAAGGAGGCGAGTCCAAAGACGATGGTCGCGTGGGACACATAGTAAGTCCTTGCCTCTCGAGTGGAGGAGCAAGTACCCGTCGGCAATGCGGTAATGGCTGGYCGGCGGGTGATCCGAAGATAGCTGTGCATAGAGCGTGCCGAAGTCCGGATCAGACTGATATGCCCGGATGAAGTATCGCTGAAGCTCCTCGTCGAATGCGAAGGCATGATGTGTCATAGCGCAAAGATCGGGTCTTCGCGAGAGTGCATCTGTTGCGCGATTTGAGAGGCCGGACAGATGTTTCGGTGTGAAGTCAAATTGGTCGATGAAGTACATCCATCGTCCGATCTTGCTGCTCACCGTATCCTGCGTCTTGTAGTAAGTCAATGTCTGTGACCCATGTGAACCTACGACGCCCAAGGAGGAAGTGCCGCCATCGCTTAAGCCATGACGAATGCGAGCAGCTCCTTCTTCCTTGCATCATCAAGCGAGTTGATGGGAGGCACTTTGTGGCTGAAATACTCCACAGGGTGCCAGTCATCGCCGTCGTGCTGTTCCAAGACTGCCCCAATGCCATAGCCGGAAGCGTCCGTAGTCACTCGCGTCGGCAGGGTGGGGTCATAGATGCTAAGGACGGGTGCCATGAGCATAGCCGTCTTAAGTGCTTGGAATGACCGACGTGCGGCGTCATCAAATACGAATGGCACCTTTGGCGACTGTAACCTCGTCATAGGTGCAGCAATCTTGGAGTATCCGGTGACGAATCACTGATAGTAGCCCGCCAATCCCATGAATGAACGAACGTCCGTGGTGTTGGTGGGCTCGGGCCATACTCGTAGGGCTTCGATCTTGTCCGCAAGCGGATGGATGCCTTGCGGCGTCACATAGTGTCCCAAGTATTCCAGCTCCTGCTGTGCGAACTCGCACTTGTCGCGGTTTGCTTTGTACTTGGCTTGTCGTAGCTGCTCCAAAACGGTGCGCAGGTGTTCCACATGCTCGTCCAAACTCTGACTATACACCAAGATGTCGTCGAGGTAGATGAGTACAAACCGATCCAGCATGTGTCGGAACTCCGTTGTCATAGCCGCTTGGAAAGTGGCTGGGGCATTCGTAAGGCCAAACGGCATGACCAGCCATTCGAAATGCCCATACCGTGTCTTAAACGCGGTCTCCTTGCGAAGAACTGGGCGCCGCCCAATCGCTCGAGAAGGTCGTCGATGCGTGGGAGAGGGCCGGCGTTCCTGATCATCTGCGCGTTGAGCTTGCAATAATCGATGCACAACCGCAGGTCCTTGTTTTGGACGAAGAGGACAGGGGCACCGTATGTCGATGAGCTAGGCCGAATCCAGCCTTTCTCTAGAAGATCGTCGAGTTGTGCACGTAGCACACTTAACTCTTCCTCACTCATTCGGTAGATACAACCGTGCGGAGGTACGGCCCCGTCCTCGAGGATGATCTCGTGGCGGATGGGCCGATCCGGTACTACTCCGTGCGGGCCTTCGAACACGTCGCTGTAGGCATCGAGAAGTTCGGTGATGCGTGGATCCAAAGATGAGTCCGTCGATGAAGCGTCTTGGGGCGGGAGGGCGTGGAGAAAACACCCCCCCATCTCCTCGATGTCGTCTCTGATGATGGATGCTCGCATGCTTGCGGCGGATACCACGTGCAGCTGATCGAAGGATGAGGAAGAGGYACCGTGCATGGAACTAATACTCCGTTCCGATCACGAATGTGAACGGTGCGGTTGAAGAAGTTCACCGGGTGATCCTCGCTTCGCAGCCATGACATGCCCAAGATCATGTCAAATTTGGTGTCCAGAATATCAAAGGACACCGCGTTACTTGCGTGAGGGGCAAAGTACACGGGGACGGCGTCAATGCGCTGGTCGATGGACTTGTGCGTATGACCGTCTGCCAAAGTGACTTGCGTAGGCTGGGACTTCCTCCGGACACGTGGGCCAAGGCCGGCGCGCACCATGAAGTCCTGGCTGATGTAGTTGCGAGATGCTCCGCAATCGATCAAGGAGTTGCAGGTCGCCTCTCCGATCTGAATGCGTACATATAGCAATGGTGCGTCGACGTCGTCGTACCGTTGCGTCTCGAACTCGCGGTCGATCTTCGCGATGTAAGCGTGAAGGTCGACAACCTCTACTCCGGCGTCCATCAAAGGAGCTGGTACTGCAGTGTGCAAGTAATCTCGCAGTTGTGCCATGAGCACATTGCAATGCGGTTTCGGCAATCGTCCGGTCTGGGGAACGGGCATCCGCTAGAAGTCCATGAACGTCAGTGGATCGAGCACCTCAAGTCTTGACCACGACGATGAATCCCCAACGATAGATATCGGCGAAACTGCCGAATCGGTTGCCGATGGTGATGAAACCGTGCATGCGGTAGATTGTTGCACGTGGAGCGGTTGGTCCAGCGGTGGGACCAAGTGGACAGCATAATCCTCGTAAGTGTACCGAGGACTTGCGACATGCGCATCCTCCCCAGATGTGTAGGAGGCCGCTAGCAAGGCGGCCGAATCTGGTGGAGTGAGAGGTGGAGTCGCCTCACCTCCTGCGCAACTCAGTTTCCCGAGTTAAGACGAGGCCGCACATCCTCCTTGGCCTGATCTTGGCAAATGGAGGTCTTGTGCTTGGTGTTGTTGCACCAGTAACAGCAGCCGTAACGGTTGCGGTACTTGTACTCGGCCTCAGTCAAGCCGAACTTGACCCATGGTGGTGCTGGCTGTCCGTTTCCGGCCTGCGATGCTGGTTTCGCCTTCCCGTTCACTCGGAGCTTGTTGCTTCACGGCCGGAAAGCAGCCACCTGATCTCCCTCACGTGATGCTCGAGTGGTTGTTGGGTCTTCTCCACTGTCTGATTGGACTGCAGCGAACTGCTGCTGTCGCGGACTAGTTCGAACCTTCTCCACATAGGTTGGCTGCCACGTTGACTTCTCGTGTGCGGCCGCCCTGTTGGTCTTGATGATTTCTCTCGCCTTGTTGATGATCTCTGCGAAAGTGTTGTACTGCTCGCGATCACCCAGTGCGAGGCTGAGAGCGGCGCATGACCTGTTGTAGAACTCACGGCGTAGATGCGAAAATGGCAAGTCCAGATCGGGCGTGGCCACGATCTTCTACCAGTCCGTGAGCTAGTCGCGTGTCGGTGTGCTCCCTTGAGCCATCGCGAAGATGCGGTTGATGGCGAGCGCGGGTGCGTCATCCACTATGAACCGCTTCTTCCATTCCTTTGTCATATCCTCCCAGGTGACCTTCTTGTGCAGGTCTGAAACCTGGACGCCGTGGATAGTTGCCATGTGGCTGAGCCAGATCTGACATCCTCCCTTGGTGTTGATGAACAGAGCACTGATGAACAGATGGTCAGGGACCTCGTGGATCCCCAACTCCGTTGTAAATCCTTGCCACCAAACGACTGGGTCTTGATGTGTAGTCATCAAATTTCTCGATCCGGAACGTCGGCATCTTGTATGGCCTCGCCGAGCTGTTGTTGTGGCTGTGGTCGGTCTGCTGTTGCTGACTGATCTTGGTGTCCAGCAACTCGAACCGCTGGCTGATGGTGGCCGGCTCTGTGAAGGCACTTATGTCTCCTAGCATTGCCACTACGTGGTCAACGCGTTCCTCCAGTTGGCGGCT